AGATGTCACTACTCTGAGATCTGAGAGAGGTTGCGCCATACCTTTTGCTCTTCTGCTTCCGGGAGCTTTGCCGTTCGTACGCTTTCCTGCTTTGGCTGGCCTTCCTCTGCTGGCTGAAAACGCATTTTGTAGATGTCTCTACTCTGAGATCTGAGAGAGGTTGCGCCATACCTTTTGCGCTTCTGCTTCCGGCAGCTTTGCTGTTCGTACGCTTTCCTGCTTTGGTCGGCCTTCCTCTGCTGGCTGGAAACGCGTTTCTGATATCCCTGTGGCCTGAGATCTGGGAAAGTTAGCACCATACCTTTTGTGCTTCTGTTTCCGGAAGCTTTGCCGTTCGTACGCTTTCTTGTTTTGGCTGCCCTTGTTGAGGTGCCTGAAATCGACCTTCTTGTTCACAAGTAGTGCTGAGGAAGTAAAGGAGTTACCTTCGAGTCCTCTGCTTCCGCAAGCTTAGCCGTTCGAACGCTTCCCTGCTGTCCTTTCTCTACTGGCTAGAAACTCATTTCAAAGGATCTTTTCCCAGCTGAGAAATGGAGGAACATACCTTCTGTTCCTCTGCCTCCCGAGGCTTGGCCTTTTCTGCACTACCTTGCTGCGACTGACCTTGTTCCAGCGTCTGAAAACAAGGCCTAAAATTTAATACTTACTGAGAAAGACGGGACGGTACTTTTTGTCCCTCTGTTTCGGGAAGCTTAGCCGTTCGTACGCTTTCCTGCTGAGGCTGGTTTTGCTCCGGCGCCTGAAAACAAGCGTAGAAGAACGCCGACTTCTCGAGAAAAAGGATCACGTTACTTTTTGTTCCTCTGTTTCCGGAAGCTTAGGCCGTTCGCACGCTGTCCTTCTGTGCCACAAGTCGATCTCCGCTTGCTGAAAAACGGAGACCCCTGTTACTTTTTGTTCCTCTGTTTCCGGAAGCTTAGCCGTTCGCACGCTCTCCTTCTGTGCCACGTCGATCTCCGCTGGCTGAAAAACGAGAATCCCAAGATTCCTATCCCGCTCAAGAAACTAAAAGTAATACATTTTGTTCTTCTACTCCCAAAGGTTTTGCCTTTCCTGCACTATCTTTTTGGGATTCGCCCTGTTCTGGCGCCTGAAAACGAGCTTTACAGATTTTGATCCCTCCTGGAAAACTACTGGAGATACCTTTTGTTCTTCTGCTTTCGGAAAGTTTGCCGCTCCTGCGCCTTCCTGTTGCGGCTTGCTTGGTTCCGGTGGCTTAAAAAAAACTTTGAACTTTTCAACTCGTGCTGGAAATGGCCAGTACCGTACTTTTTGTTCTTCAGTTTCTGGGGGTTTAGCGGCCTGTGCGCCCTCCTGCTGTGACTGGCCTTGTTCCGGTGCCTGGAAGCAAACCTCTAGCTTTCGATTCCTCTCGGGAGACTGCTGACAATACCTTTTGTTCCTCTGCTTCCGGAGGGTTAGCATCTCCTGCGCTTTCCAGCTGCGGCTGATTTGGTTCCGGGGGCTAAAAACAGATTTCGGGGTCTCTAGTTCCCACTGGAGAAAATGGCACGGTACCTTTTGTTCTTCTTTTTCCGGAGGCTTACCCGCTTGTACGCTTTCTTGCTGTTGCTGGCCCAGTTCAGGAGCCTGGAAAAGATTTTCTTCTAATTCCGGTGCCTAAAAATTATACACTTCAGTTCCTTCTGGATTACTGGGCCCATTACCTTACGTTCTTCCTTTTCCGGGGGCTTTCCCGTTTGTCTGCTTTCTAGCTGGGTCTGGCCTTGTTCAGGAGGCCGGCCCAGACCTAGAAAGCCAGTCGCAACGGGAAAAGCCCCGGAAAGTTCAGGCCTAAAAACGGTATTTTCTCGGGCAAACTCCTGCAGACAATAAGAGCATGAAGACCATACTTTTTCTTCGGGGAGTTTTGCTTTTTGATCGTTTTCGGGGCCGTTGGCTACTGTCTTTGCTTCGGGCTCTGGAAGCGGTACTAATCTCTAAATACAAATATCTGCCTTAGGAACGGTACCCTTGTGCACACACTGAGCTGAGCCCTTGGCACTGATTTGCCTGCTGTTAAATCGGCTTTTTCAGGGAGGTGGCGCCGCTTGAGAACGATTTCTGAGAGTGAAGATATGTTATTGAACGGGTAAAAATGTACCTTTTCCACCGCAGGTGAGCCGACGCGTTTGCAGTTCGCACACTGCCTTTTGTCGGTCGCTCTTTCTGCTTTGGCTGAAAAACACGCGTCAGTAAGTGCAGAGCTTGCTAGTGTGATGAAATACGCACAGTTCGGTCTATTCCCACACCTCCTAGGCAGCTGCGGTAATAAACGGCGTGGACTTAAATGCGAACTTCATCAAATTGCCGCATGTGCTTCGTATGAATGCCAAAAATCAGGTTTTTTATGGCAAATTTTATTTTTCCGTTATCTCAAACTATCATAAGCCTGTTTGTGGGCTTATCTTCTGCGTTTGAAACGGCTTCAATTCAAGGAGGTAAAACCAGTATTCGGTCCATCAGGCAGAGTCAGCAAGCCCCCCCTTTCTGGGCATACCTCCACTGGTTATGGCAGATTAGTCCGTCAGGACGTATATTCGAAACTCCCTGGAGATGTGGTAGGCGTGGCTTGCAGTACTCCAACTAGGAAGTGGAGGTTCGATGTGGTTTTGGTTTAGAATATTTTCACTAAAACACAATTGCTGATCGTGATGATCATGGCCCTGTACAACGGCTAACAAGACAGAAGTTGTCTCAAACTGAAATATCCCACGAGTAACCCGCTCTATGCCATGTTCCACTGCCACGCCTACCCCGTCTCAGGGATACGGAGCGTATCAGTCCGTTGCACATGTCAACATGACTTTCTCTGAGCAACTAGGCTAGTGTCAGAAGGCCAGGAAAGAGCCCACCCACGGCTGCGTTTTCTACAAGTGCAGCCTGATATGGAGTACCAGAGACGGGTAAAACTCTACCAGAGCCTATGTTCATCCCATACCTTTTTTCTGGATCACTTGTGGTGGATTTTAATGCCAATAGATAGCTACGACTGATTCCGGAAAGTGCTTAGTATGTAGGAAAAGAGTTTCAAGGCTTCACTTTTGCATTTTCGGCGGAACCCTTGAATTTTTAAGCATGTTTATTTGCCAACTTCAAGCGAAACAACAACAGACGACTGATCAAAGTATTTTTCATGAACGTGGATTGTCCGGTAACTTCTCAATTCAACGATGGTAAAAATCGGCAGCATTCGAATCTTTCGTGGCTTCTTCATTACTGCATGGAAAGGATGAAAGGTTAATTTACAAGTCACTTTTCGAATGCAGTCTTATGCTATGGCATTAAAATCCACCATAACTGGTTAATTAGTAAAGAATTTATGAATGTGGAAGAAGGCTCATGATAACACTAGCGCCAACCCATTTGCATGCTAGAATTTCCACGAACTTCACGGGATGGAACCTTGCACTAGGACTAGGGAGGATGGACTAGGGTGGCACTCTACAGCGTGCATAAGCGCGTCACCTCCTTCTCATCGTTTGGAGTGGAGCTAGCGGCGGAATAAGCGCACCATCAGGAAGTCTTCAGGAATTGGAAGTTGGGCGTTGTCGTGGCAAGGAGGCGGAGCCATGGCCTCGTCGATAGCTGGTATCTCTTTCCTCACTTATTTTTTAGCTGCAAAACTAGTAGATCTTCTATGCTCGGACAGGATCACCATGCGTCCGCGCATCAAATGAACGGTGGCGCGTCTTGAAATATTCACACCTCTACCTTACCACCCCAACCACAATCCTGTGCAGTTTGCCTTTTAATGTGGTCTGAGTGAGCGCTCAGAAAATTTCCATGCTTCCTTCCAACCAAACTCCACAATCTCAAGCGTGTTTAATGCTAAAAATGAAAACCATACTTTCTCATTCTCAGGTTCTATTTCCAATGGCGTTAGCTTATTGGGTTGTGGTGAACTGGGCTCTGGTGATTCCCCTTTGGACCGAGCTTTATTCCTTGCCGAGGAAGTTCCCTGCAACAACCCAATATTAAGCAGGACTAATTTCTTGTCTTTCCATGGTTTTTGAAAAGTGAGCTCGCTAACTGAAGCGGAGGTGGTGTAGTGACAAGTGGCGCGCTTACCACTCGCGCGGCGCCGGGTTCAAATCCCGGAGTCGACTCCCGCCCAGGCCAACCAAGCCTTCTACCCTCCGGGGACGGTACCAGATTCGTCTGGGAGGATAAAACACTGACTTGTACATCGGCTGGCCACCGCAAGTCATTGTATAGGCCACATCGCATTCAATAAGCTACGATTCTGAATGGAAGTAGAATGCGTGCCGCATCCCGCAAAGGGATTGATCATCGGCGAAGAGGGGGCGCTTTTATTTTTAAGCTCGCTTATTATCTGAAATGACTCCCACCTCTTCTATGGGATACGCTTTTACCTTATCCACAGGTAGATCCCACTTTTTCTGTCCAGACTTTTCTTCTTCTTCATCAGGTGCTTTCTGGAAATACTTCAACGCTCATAGACTCCTTCATTTAGGTATAATAAAGGAATAGGTTCAAGAGTCTATGTCGTCGCAAACCCCTGTGAGAGGTTACTCCAGCGAGGCTCCGCCACGTCATGTTTGCCCGTTTTCACCCCCTCACTGAGATGGTGTGATATTTCCTGACGTGCAAATACTTCATTTCTGATGGGTGAATTCCCACTGGAGAGTGCTCCACCTTTACGATGTATTTATGATACCGCTTGCGTATCGCGCTAGTCTTGGCCGAGCTACGGAACTAGTTTCGTAGCTTGAGACACTTACGAAACTTGTGCGGGTGAGCCACTTGTGGGCAGGTTTCCGAAAAGTCCCCAAGACATCAAAGGTCCTGTCGTTATAGCAACGTTGCTATGATTCACAGTTTTCTTGTAATGGCCCGTCCCTGCCAGTCAAAATGACTGTCATGCGCCCTGTGATTTCATACCCGTAGGGTGATTTCAAGAACACAAGCGTTCAGGTCAGTGCCAAACACCTTTCTTCCTGTCATTCCGTGCGACAACAGTTTTATTGATGCGTGAAATGGGTCAAATGCCTTTTTGCGCCTTTCCCTCAGCCTACTCGGTAGACGAGTAGCTAGTGATGCTTGACTATGCTAACGTAACAGCCTCTAGCAGGCGATTTCAGGGGAGATGGAGATAGGGGTGCTATCGCAGTTTGCAGTAGCCATGGTCATGCGTGTATATGGCAAAACAATCGCAACTGGCCGCGCTGGTCGGCCTGACAGGCGATTTCACCGCCATACAGTCCTGGTCCATGAAAAGGATAATGGGTGTGAAGTGGCTTGGAACTACAGAGCTGCCAAGGCGGACTTTTCCGGCAATGATGCCATCCTGAGTCCGCAACAGTTGGTGAGAAGGGCTGTTCTGGCCGCGCTCTAACCGACGCCCCATCGTTTGCAGAGATCATGGAGACAGGATAGTTCACATGCTCGCTGATGTCAGACATCTCTCCGCAAGTG